AAGCATTGTACTGCCAGTGTCGGTTTGTGTTTTAGTGAACGCTCCCGAAGAAACTGTAAAGAGAAACGTTGAGTGTCTAGTTAAGTAAAAAACATTTTGGTGTTAATAGGAATTACATTTTGTTCTGTAAATTCTCTGGTCCGGACAGAAGACTAGTGAGTAACGTTACGGACTATGGACCTGAGGGTTCATGTTCGTGTCAAGTTGCTGCAAGAAAAAAAAAATCGCTCTCTGCGCTTTGGAACTGTGGGAGCGTTATAAAAGTGTCGGTGAAATTCCAGTATTCGGTTAGAGTAGCCCAAGATTTGTCGGTGGGTAGTGCTGTTGAACTAGCTGCATTCCCTCTAGCCTATCAGTTTAAAATAAAGAACAGCCAGAGTACAATTATTGATAGCTTTGCGAGAATATCCGAAATAAACCAATCTATAAATTATCTCAAAGAACCGACAGACATCTACCATATTAGATTTCATGCTGCCTGTGCTAATTCTAACACACTGTATTTCTTGGAGTTCTTGTTAAGCTATTTATGTAGGTCATACTGTCATCTTTTTAACTGCTACGTAATGGACATTCTAGAATCCTGTAATCCAAGTTACAGACCCCCATAATAAAAGAATTTAATGCTACCCGTTAACGCGAGGAACGTCATATCATTCTCTTTTCTGTATAAGCTACACACGGCCTTCCTCAACCCCCAGTGGCATAGCGGTATGTCTTCGGACTTGCAACGCTAGAAACCAAGTTTCGATAGCCGTGGTGTGCACAGCACAGATAGCCCATTGTGTAGCTTTGTGCTTAATTACAGACAAACATCAACCAACATATTTTCTATATATATGTATATATATGATGTTCCCTTTCTTCTGTTAGCTGTATTTGCTTATTTTTACTATTCATGAAGCCACACACAGTTCAGAATATGAAAAAATGTACATGATTCATCGAACGTTTCGGTACATACTTATTCCATCAGCAGCAGTGAAATCTAAAAACAAGGAGGTGAGTAATATATTTGACTAATTCAGTCAAATATCAGTTTGCAATGCAACCAGTGCATATTTAAAATTATAGTTTCCGCCCTTTAGATCTGAAAAACAGCAACATCCAAAAAATATTTAATACCTCGGATTCGGAGAAATCTGGTAGAAATCAAGCACTGTCTAAAACCATTTTTCATTTCGGGCATAGGACCATCACGTGTGTTCAACAGCGTGAATGTATTTGTCTTCTTGATCAGGTTAATAAACTTTTTTGACATAATAAACTTTTCTTTAAGGAAATTATTTTATTAACTGCAGTAGAAAGTGCCTATAGTCATAATGAATATATTTGTATTTAGTTGTTTAGTTTAGTTATTTGGAGTTAAGCACAACGCTAAACAATGGGCTATCTGTGATCTGCCCACCATGGGTATCGAAACCCGGTTTCTAACGGCATACCGCTGTGCCACGGGGGGCGTTGTATTTAATATTTATGGCAAAGGTACTAAGGCTGTCTGCCACTGTTCCCAATTTTGAAATAATGACCAGAGGGAAGGCAGTGAGTTAGAAGCACCTTACCACCCACCATCCACGCTAAGGAATTGATTGTCATTCTTAGAACGCACACATAGCTGAAAGTGCGGAGAATATTTTGTGGCGTCGCATTCGAATCCGTCTCTCCAGCTCCGAAATCTAGAGACAACAACAAGGCCAACTCATGATCCGTTAAAAACGA